GTTGATTCAGATGGTTAGGTTAATAGCTTGTTTAGAGAACCTTTTCATGATATGCTAATTTTTTGGGACAGGCATTTTGGGTTTTCATGAGCTGTATGCCATAATCATCAGTATTAAAACAATTAAAGACCTGAAATATTTCAGTTGGTGTGCAATGAATCTGAAATATATGAAAGTTTCATTTTTATCATTACATTATGGAAAATAATGACCTTTTTCACAATATGCTAATTTTTTAGAAGGACCTGTACAGAGGTGCCAAGTTGTGGAGGGCTTTGAAAGTGACGAGGAGAATCTTGAAGTCAGTGCGGTAACCAGTAAAGATGTTTAAGGATAGGGATGATGTATTCCTTTGAAGTAGTTCTGGTGATGATCTGGGCAGCTGTGTTTTGGACAAGCTGAAGTTTATGGATGGTTTTGAGGGGAATATCTGAGAGGAGGGAGTTGCAGTTATCGAATAGAGAGGTGACAAGACCATTGATAAGGATGGCTGTGCTGGTGGGAGTAAGAAATGAACGGAGACGGTTGATGTTCCAAGATGAAAATATGCAGACCGAGTAATGTTATTGACATGAGATCCAAAAGATAAAGTGCTGTTGAGGATGACACCCAGACTCTTGACTGTAGGGAGGGAGAAACTGTGGAATCATCAACTTTAATTGTGAGATTGTTACTTGACCTCACTTCAACTCAATCTACATGGAAGGAACCCATCAGGAGCATTACAAGTATGACATAGTCATAAATATGAAAGACTTGGCATTTTTCAAACTACACTTCATTCTTTAATGTTTGGACTCCCGTAAAAGGATTTATGTTTACACCAGAAAAATAAGAAACAGCTTTAGGTAGAACAAATGGACTCTTAAGTATACAAAGAGACGCAAACCGTCCTTTTGTTCAAAGTATCATGTTTGACATGCTTTAAGGTGCAGCTGGAGCAACAAGAAAAGCCAGAAAAGCAACAAGCACAAATTATGTCAAGTTATTCAAGAATCAAATTCTGTCAAACTTATCCAGAATCTGCTTTAAGATGTCCAAAAAAAAAAGGGATTAAGGGGCAAGTTGTGTGTTAATGTGTGGAATTGTGACTGTCTCATTAACACCAGATCATCTGAAAGCAGCCATCCCATTCGTTTGTCATATCTTATGCTTTGTTTTGTTTTCTGCATCTTTCCTGCATGGCTGTTCTGTGCTTGGCTGCATGTCCATGTGTGCTTGTGCATGTGTAGCTTGACATGCAGTCTCATCACACCAAAGTCCACTCACTTTCCCTGTCCTCTGACTCTTCTGAAGAATCCTTCTGCACTGTCCGTCCAGACCAGGTGTGTACTGCATTCTGCCTGTTGTTTGAAGCACCAATGTTCATCTTAAGTTTTTAACATTTTAGAAATTTTCCTGTGAACTTATCCCAGTTTTTACTCAAAGTAATAATAGCAGGGCATATATGGGCAAATACAAAAGCACATTCAAATGAATGATGGATTGGTTGTTGATGTTTGAGGTCTTCCTGTCAGTCCTCACAGAACAAAGTGTAGTTTAGATGTAGGTGCAGCATGTATAGTCTACATTTCTGTGTGTGTATACAGACTGTATGAGATCCATCAATAGTCTATAAAGGTTTTGAATCACTTTTCCGAGCAGTAGCAACAACTAATGTTTTTGAGCAGAAAGGCCTAAAATACATGCTACTTTTCCTGCACCATCCAGCCATCCATTATCTTCTGCTTGTTCTGAAGTCGGGTCGTGGAGGCAGCAGCTTGAGGGAGGCCCAGACATCTCTTTCCACAGCCACATCTTCTAGCTCTTCTGGGGGGAGCCCAAAGCATTCTCAGACCAACCAAGAGACAGTCCCTCCAGTGTGTCCTGGGTCATCCCCAGGGTCAAGCCTGAAGCACTTCCTTAGGGAGGCACCCAGGGGGCATCCTTACCAGTTGTCCAAACCACCTCAACTGGCTCCTCTCGATGTGGAGGAGCAGAGGTTCTACTCAGTTTCTCCCGGATAACTGAACTTCTCACCCTATCACTGAGAGAGTTCAGCTACTCTGCGGAGGAAACTCATTTCCACCGCCTGTATCCACAATCGCATTATTTCGGTCACTACCTATTAAAGGTGTAACGGTACACTAAAAATCCCATTTCGGTTCGGTGCATTTTCAAGGAGGGCTCGGTTAAAAGTTAATTTTCAGTACAAAAAAGGCCAAAATAAAGACTTACAAAATGTTTATTTTGAAAATATGCCAAGTAAATAAGTTCAGTCAATCCAGACTTCTTAGCTGGAGGTGATCTGGTGGATGAAGAAGACTCAGCTGCTATCATTCTCAAACTGCAAACAGCGCAAAGAGACCAAAAAAAGAGTTAATAAGATGATAATTTTAAATGTAAAAAATTAATTAAATCACAATAATACAATAACATTACTACTTTGTGCATGGTCATCATATGAGATGGTTGAATCTTCCGCTCATAATCATTCAAGGATTTAAGGTTCTTTGTCATTCGCACCCCATGTGGTACATGTGGTGGAATGAAATTATGTACACAGGGTCCCAGTTACATCCAACAATAAAATGTAAAAGAAAAACAGTAATAACATCTAAGACATGAACTAAGAAAAACATCAACTAAACATACACTAAGCACTAATAGTATAAAAACATTACGCCAAACAGCAGCACGAACATGAGTCTGTGAGCAGATGAGCACGCATGAACACATCAACATTGAAACAGATCAGCAGCAACATGAAACAGATCAGCAGAAACATGATGTAATTTTTTCAGTGATTATTCTGGTTAGAGATTCATGAGTCTAACAGCCTCAGGGCAGAAGCTGTTCCTCAGTCTAGTGGTTCTACACTTAATGCTCCTCAACCTCCTTCCTGAGGGGAGCGGGGCAAAAAGTGTGTGTGCTGGATGAGTGGGGTCCTTCATGATGCAGGTGGCCCTCTTCCTGCATCTGGAGGTGTAGATGTCTGTGATGGTGGGGAGGCTGACTCCAGCAGACTTCTCTGCAGCCTTCACCACTCTCTGCAAAGCTTTTCTTTCTGCCTCATGTCACAAGTTGATGCTGGAGCACAGGATGCTCTCCACTGCACACCTGTAGAAGGAGGTGAGGGCTTTAATCTGGGCTCCAGGGCTTGTGGACGATCCGTTTTAGCTTTTTCATAAAGTGCTGCTACAATTTTTTTGGCTGAAGTGTTGACGTGATGGGATGTTGTAGGCAGTGCGGCTCAACAAGTTTAATCATATGTTTATAGCCAGCACATCAACAACAGAATACGGACATAGATCCAGAGCTTTAAAAACTCCTACAATTTTGTGTTATTGCTCTGGACCGATCTGAATTACCTGATAAAGGTTGTTTAAATACTGCTGTTATTGGTCTTTGTACCAAGTTGCTAGAAGAGACATTCACATTCGGATAATGTCGTTTCAAGTGCATTGACAAGTTAGATGTGTTGCTGCTGCAGATCCAATCTCCATGAAACAACGTCAACACACAGCTTTGGATTTGCACTTGTCTTTTAACCAGAAAGCCATAATGTTCCCAAAAGGAGACTTCAACAAGATGAAAGCGTCTCCTGCTAGGCTGCTAATGCTACGTGTGCTGCGAGACTATGCAACAATTAATAGTGTCGTGCTGAAACATGCTTAGGAACTTTACTTCCGCGTCGCATAATCTCTCGTTAATAACATTTTATGAGTGAAAAAAATAACCGAAACGGTACGCACATGGACCGAACTGAACATGCTGTATCGAAACGGTTCAATACACCCACATGTACCGTTACACCACTACTACCTATAGCTCATGACCATACAGGTGCTGGTCATAAAATTAAAATATCATGAAAAAGTTGATTTATTTCAGTAATTCCATTCAAAAAGTGAAACTTGTATATTATGTTCATTCATTACCCACAGATTGATATATTTCAAATGTTTTTCTTTTAATGTTGATGATTATTACTGACAACTAATGAAAACCCTAAATTCAGCATCAGAAAATTAGAATATTGAGAAAAGGTTCAATATTGAAGACACCTGGTGCCATACACTAATTAGCTAATTAACTCAAAACATCTGCAAAGGCCTTTAAATGGTCTCAAGTCTAGTTTTGTAGGCTACACAACCATGGGGAAGACTGCTGACTTGACAGATGTCCAAAATACAAACATTGACATCTTGCACAAGGAGAGCAAGACACAAAAGGTCATTGCTAAAGAGGCTGGCTGTTCACAGAGCTCTGTGTCCAAGCACATTAATAGAGAGGCAAAAGGAAGAAAAAGATGTGGTTAAAAAAAAGTGTACAAGCAATAGGGATAATTGGACCCTGGAGAAGATTGTGAAACAAAACCCATTCTGAAATGTGGGGGAGATTCACAAAGAGTGGACTGCAGCTGAAGTCAGTGCTTCAAGAACCACCACGCACAGACGTATGCAAAACAAGGGTTTCAGCTGTCACATTCCTTGTGTCAAGCCACTCTTGAACAAGAGACAGCATCAGAAGTGTCTTGCCTGGGCTAAAGACGAGAAGGCCTGGACTGGACCTGCTGCTGAGTGGTCCATCCATCCATTTTCTTTACCTACTTGTTCCATTTTGGGTCACGGGGGTCGCCGGTGCCCATGTCCAGCAATCACTGTGCGAGGGGCGGGGTACACCCTGGATGGATTGCAAGTCCATCACAGGGCCACATAGAGACAAACGAGACAAACAACCATTCACTCTCTCACTCACACATAGGGACAAATTAGAGTTACCAATCAGCCTAGCATGCATGTTTTTGGTCTGTGGGAGGAAACTGGAGTACCTGGAGAAAACCCACGCATGCACGGAGAAAACATACAAACTCCACCCAGAAGGGCCCCTGGACCGGGGTTTTGAACCAGGGACCTGCTCGCTGACGGGCAACAGCTCTACCAGTTGCGCGACCATGCTCTGAGTGGTCCAAAGTTAGGTTATTTGATGGAAGTAAATTTTGCATTTCCTTTGGAAATCAAGGTCCCAGAGTCTGGAGGAAGAGAGGAGAGGCACAGAATCCATGTTGCTTGAGGTCCAATGTAAATTTCCACAGTCAGTGATGGTTTGGGATGCCATGTCTTCTGCTGGTGTTGATCCACTGTGTTTTCTGAGGTCCAAGATCAATGCAGTCGTTTACCAGGAAGTTTTAGAGCACTTCATGCTTCCTGCTGCTGACCAACTTTATGGAGATGCAGATTTAATTTTCCAACAGGACTTTGCACCTGCACATACAGTAGTGCCAAAGCTACCAGTACCTTGCTTAAAGACCATGGCATCCCTGTTCTTAATTTGTCATCAAATTTGCCTGACCCCCCCCCATAGAAAATCTATGGGGTATTGTGAAGAGAAGGATGTGATATGCCAGACCCAACAATTCAGAAGAGCTGAAGGCCACTATCAGAGCAACATGGGCTCTCATTACACCTGAACAGTGCCATAGACTGATTGACGCCATGACACTCTGCGTTGCTGCAGTAATCCAGGCAAAAGGAGCCCCAACTAAACATTGAGTGCTGTGCATGCTTATACTTTTCTTGTTCATACTTTTCAGTTGGCCAACATTTCTAAAAATCCTTTATTTTAATTGTCCTTAAGTAATAATCTAATTTTCTGAGATACTGAATTTGGGGTTTTCATTGTCAGTTATAATCATCAACATTAAAAAGAAATAAACATTTGAAATATATGTCTGTGTGTGTAATGAATGAACATAATATACAAGTTTCACTTTTTGAATGGAATTACTGAAATAAGTAGACTTTTTCATGATATTCTTATTTTATGACCAGCACCTGTAGGTGTGGGTAGGAACGTAGACTGACTGGTAAACAGAGAGCTTTGCTTTACAGCTTAGCTCCCTCTTTACCATAACAGACTGGTACGGAGTCCACAATTCTGCAGATGCTGCACCAATCTATCTGCCAATCTCGCGCTCCATTCTTCCCTCACTCATGAACAAAATCCCAAGATACTTGAACACCTCTATTTGAGGCAGAACCTCACCCTCAACCTAATGTGAGCAATCCTCCCTTTTCTGGTTGAGGACCATGGCCTCAGATTTGGAGGTGCTGTTTCTCATTACAGCCGATTCACACTTTGCTGCGAACTGCTCCAGTGAGAGCTGAAGATCATGGCATGATGATGCCAACAGGACCATGTCATCTGCAAAGAGCAGAGACAGAATCCTGAGGCCACCGAACTGGAATCCCTTCGTCCCCTGGCTGCACAGAGAAATTCTGTTTAAGAGTTATGAACAGAATCAGTGTCAATGGGCAGCCTTGCCAGAGTCCCACCCAAACCCTGAAAGGGTCTGATTTACTACCGGCAATGCAAACCAAACTCTCTCAGCACCTGTATAGGGACCGAACAACCCGTAACAATGGGTCCCCTATCCCATACTCACAGAGCACCCCCAGAGTGTACCCTGAGGAACACAGTCAAATGCCTTCTCCAAGTCCACAAAACACACAGAGTGGATGGACAAACTCCCATGACCCCTCGAGGACCCTCGTGAGAGTAAAGAGCTGGTCCAGTGTTCCACGGCCAGAACGGAACCCGCATTGTTCCTCCTAGACCTGAGGTTCAACCAACAATTGGAATCGCTTCTCCATTACTCCCAAATAGACCTTACCAGGGAGGGTAAGGAGAGTGATGTCCCTGTAATAGGAGCACACCTTCCGGTCCCCCTTTTTGAAGGAAACCACCACCCAGTCTGTCAATCCAGTGGCACTGCCCCAGATGTCCATGCGATGTTGCAAATGTTTGTCAACCAAGACAACCCCACAACATCCAGAGACTTTAGGAAATCAGGGCAAATCACATCCACCCCTGGAGCCCTGCTGCCATGGAGCATTTTAACTACCTCGATAACCTCAGCCACAGTTATGGACAGACAACCCCAAAGTTCCCTGACTCTGCTTCCTCCATGGAAGATGTGCCAGTGAGGTTCAGAAGATCTGAGAAATATTCTTTCCACCTCCCGACGATATCACTGGTTGAGGTCAACGGCACTCCACTTTCACTGAACACTGTGTTAGTTAAGCACTGCTTTCCCCTTCTCAGCTCCCTGATGGTTTGTCAGAATCTCATCGGAACCAACAGAGGGTCATTATCCAAGGTCTCACCTAACTCTTCCCACATCCAAGCTTTTGTTTCAGCAATAGCCAAGGCTGCGGACCGCTTGGCCTTACGGTACTCTTCAGCTGCCTTCAAAGTCCCACCAGCCAACAAAGGTCGATAGGACTCATTCGTCAGCTTGACAGCCTCCCTAACCCTGGGTGTCCACCACCAAGTTTGAGGATGGCCACCACGAGAAGCACCGATAACCTTGTGGCCAGAGCATCAGATTACATGTTCTCCAGGTGAATTCAGATAAGATGGCCTTCAAGGCCAGCCGAGGGAGCCAAATTCAGATAAACACACAGTTGTTTTGGGGACAAGCAGAACTTAATGATATCTACCTTGAGTCTGTGTTGGTCCACTCAGGTTCCAAAATTTCTAAATTATGTAGCCACACCAAAAGAACATGCCTGAGTAAAATCCCCAAGATCTGATCCATTCTGCCCAAAGCATTTGAGCATGAACCAAGCCATCATAAAGGCAAGCAGCTTGATCTGGTCCAAATTTGCTGTCAACGACATCCTTGTTTGTAGATAAACCAGCGACCAGCCGAATCCAAAAAGCAGGAACCAGTTATCATAATTCCAATTTTAAACGTGTCCTTAAAATCTACAAAATAGACAAATAAAGTATTCCAAGTTGATCCAGCTGTGTGCGTGCCAACAGGGCAAATCGGCTCGCCTAAAGCCTGTCTTCTCTTCAAAGAAATGTTATCAATTGTGTTGAGGGACCAACTGATCAAATCAAGTCCATAATTATGGTTCGTAAGATATGTAGAGAGAGGATCAAACCAGTTTTACAGACAGCAAAGCAAAGCGGAGAGGGAGGGGGAAAGCGTCCGACCTCGGCAAGAGCAAGTGGTGAAGTGAATTCAATGTGATGGATGACATGTGCATATGCGCAGATACACAACAGTGTGTAGACTATACATTTGTAGCCAGGGCGGTTGTGGCTAAGTGGTTAGAGCAGTCGTCCTCCAATGGGAGAGTTGGGGGTTCGATTCCACCAGCAGTCACATGCCCAAGTGTTCCTAAGTAAGACACTGAACCCCTAATTGCCTTTGGTGTGTGTCCCATCAGTGTATGAAAGTGATAAAGCACTGACTATTCTTTGTATAGACATAGTAGTCTATACTACTAGTACAGACTACTGGACCCATTGAAATTGACCCATTGAAATGCCTTCATTTTAATGGGTGAGTGTACAGATTGTAGTGTAAAGCTCTTTGAATATCTTGATAAGATAGAAAGATGAGTTCAGACCATTTACCATTTAGCATAGCCTGTACAGATGTGTAAATGTACACATTCTGTATGTATGTATAATCTAGTCTGTTGAACTGTACCCTGTCATCCATCTTCTGCCTATCTGTGTTGAGGCGCTGACTGCTTTACATAGCAAAAATCTGTCTTCCACCTTAAGCTCCTCTGCTTTACAACATTCCTAACTTCAGCTGTAAGATATGAACTTTCTAGAGAGTCCTGGGTCTGCCCTGGGGTCTCCTACCAGTGGGAGATGTCCAGAAGGTATCCTTATTAGATGCCCAAACCACCTCCAGTGAGGAGTGGTGACTTTACAATAAGCTTTTCCTGAATAGCTGACCTTCTGAGCCACTCTGTGGAGGTGATCTAGGGTTTGTTGTCCAAGCCCTTTTGATGCTTACCTTTCGCTTATGACACCTGTGATGACTGAAACATAGGCTGATTGGTAAACTGAGAGCTTTACCTTTTAACTCGACACAAAAGGTCAGTGCAGATGCTGCCCAAATCTGCCTTTTATATCTCCTCCTAGGTTCTACTCCTATTTGTGAACAAGAATTTGTAATACTTGAACTCATCTCGTGTCAATAGCTCATTCTCGACCTTTACTGGGCAATTGACCATTTTCCTTTTGAGTATCTCATACTTGGAGGTGTTTGTCTTCATCCTCACTGTAAATGGATTCAGTGCTTGCTAGAGGTCCTGGCTCGATAAGGCAAACAAGAACACATCACCTGCAGAAATGAGCAAGACAATCTGAAGTCCCCTAAACTAGATTAAATCTGTAGCTTCATTTAACGAGTCTTCTTGGGGTACTAAACAAAAGTGGAAATGGTCCATTCCTCTCTAGATCTCCTTATTTACAAAGTGTGCAGTGTAAGGAGCATATCAGTGTTTGAGTGGTAAATCTCTAGTTTAAAGAATAAGGCCTAACATTTTTAGCTGTGCTTCCTTACAGAGGACACCATCTATGGGTCGTCACAGTCATCGTGCTCCCTCAGTGGCAGAGTCCATGGCAGAGTATTTTGATGCCAGTGAGGTGATCATATGTGAGACCTCATCAGAAGCTGAAGCTTCAGATGAGTCCGGCCTGAGTGATGTCACAACCACCAGCAACTCAGAGCCTGAAGAAGGACATTGTGAGTATTTAAGGATTGTCAAAACAATTTTTTTTTTAAATTTCACCTTTATTTAACCAAGCATAAAAACTAAGAACAAATTCTTATTTACAGTGCTGACCTGGCAAGCACCAACAGGTACTTGTAGGGTCAAGGGAAGGGAAAAGATACAGTTAGGCAAAACAATAAAATGTAGTACTCAATAACAAATCACAAATTACAATAACAACAAGACAACAACTTGCTTGGATTGTTCTCTATCTACCAAAGGGGTCAAATCTTTTTTTCCTCTTTTGTAGCATCTACTACTCTGAGTTACAGAGCAAGTCTGAAGAGTTCGACTGACAAACCCAACCTGGTACCCAAAGATACAGGTAAACTGCTGTTCTGGGAACTAAGGCTATGCTAAATCTTTCAACTCAAGAATTTGTGCTGCTGTTGTTTGGCACATTATTTTGTACTATTAGTGCTTAGTATATTCTTAGTTTAGCGTATTTCTTAGTTCATATTTTAGATCTTACTACTGTTTATCTTTACAATTTGTATTTTTGTTGGATGTAACTGGGACCCTGTGTACATAGTTTCATTCCACCTCATGTACCACATATGATGTGATTGACAATAAAGACACCTTGACTTTGATAATGTGTACAAACATGAACAGCAGACATTTACTGATTGATTTTTAAGGTCAGCCATCAATCTAGTATTTATGTTGCTGTAATTCAGGTCGTCGCACGGCTCTTCCCGCCCCGGGAGCAGACAACAGCCATATTGGAATCATGACTATATTGTACAACAACATTGGAAAAGACCTGTCCAGAGTCTCGATGCCCGTTGCTCTCAATGAGCCGCTGTCTTTGCTTCAGAGACTCAGTGAAGAGCTGGAGTACCCTGAGCTGCTGGACATCGCCAGTAACACAGACGATCCATTTGAAAGAATGGTGCGTTTGGTTTATTCCCAACAGCTGGGATTAAGGCTGAAGTAGACAATGTGTAACATGGTTTGTTAATGACGATGATGATGGATGATTATAGGTTTACGTGGCAGCCTTCTCCATTTCTGGTTATGCCTGGGCATCCTGGAGATATCGATACAAACCCTTCAACCCTATTTTAGGAGAAACTTATGAAAACCATAGAGAAGATCGAGGATTTCATTACATCAGTGAACAGGTAAGTATCAAAGAGGGACATGCCACCTCTCTGTGCTGAAGAAAACACTGAACTTCTTCTGTTCTCAGGTCTGCCATCATCCACCCATCTCTGCATGCCACGCAGAGTCTGAAAACTTCACTTTCTGGCAAGGTAGGACTTCTGTACTTTCTCTTGATGACTGAATATTCTGAAGTGTGAGTTCAGGGAATGTTTATTAATTTTGTCTGCTTTTAGACCAGAGATGGAAGAACAAGTTCTGGGGAAAATCTGTGGAGATCATCTCATCAGGACTGGTGAATGTAACACTTCCCCGGTGAGCCCCTGTTAGTTTGAACAAGTTACATAAAACTAAAACTAACTAGAAAAAAATAGATTTCCTGCAAAAATGCAATGTGAATGCTTATTGCTTAAGAATTTGCTGAAAAACAGCTGGATTTAGTTAAAATTAGCTGGAATTAAGCAAAAACATGCTGAAAGGTAGATGAAATGGAAGAACAAGCCTTAGGTTGTTTTCACACCTGATAGTCCGGTAGACTCTGTTCGGTTCGGGACCAATATTCATAACTTTTTGTTTACATTTGAACTGGTGTGTTTGCATTCACACTGCACTGTGCAGTCGAGCCAACCTGTTGAACCAACCTATTCCCTCACTCGCCTGTGGGGGCGCTGCACCAAGAACTACTGAAAGAAACGACACAAAAACCTCTGAAGACACTTCTTCTTCTGGAAATAAAAACAAAAACGGAGGGGCTTCAAGTTTTAGCAGTTTTAGGAGTTATATTTTGTCATTTTTCAAAAATGGACTCGGATGAGGCAGAAGACCATGGAGAATATATTTTTTAACAAAAGGCAGCTGACGGCTCCATATGAGGCAAGAGAAATGTGTGTTTGTTTGCCCTGCGCTGTACTCTACTTCTTGCTTGTGGAGCAGGGTCCAATCTGTTAACATTCACACTGTACTCGAACCGCGCTCGAGTTCTCTTCTACCGGACCGAGACCTAGGTTTTAGCCCGGGCCAGAGTTCGCCTTTTTGTTCCGTAACAGAGTTCGATGGCGCGTTCACACCTCCCCAAATGAATCGGACTTTCTAGGCAAACGAGCTAGAGTTGGATTAAAGCGGACTAAACAGGGCTGGTGCACCTTAAATTAGCAGAAGAAAGCAGAAAGCGCACATTCTTGCTGAATTAAGTTAAAACAAGAAGAAATGAGCACAAAAATTAGGAAATTTGATTAAAAAAAAAGCTGAAATTAGCAATTAGCAAAAAAAACAGCTAAGTAGCTGAAAAGGCAGAAGGAAGATGGAAAGAGCTAAAAATATGAAATTAGCAGAAAAAGTTAAATTTAGCACAAGACGACTAAAAAATAGCTGAAATAGCAGAAAAAGTTGAAAGTAACAGAAAAATATGAAAGGAGCTAAAAGTATCAGAAAAAATGTTATTTAGGCAGAAAGTAGCAAAAATTACCACAAAACATGAATTTATCTGAAAACTGCTTAAATTAGCTAACAATGCTAAAAAATGGTAACTGAGAAGGTACAACAAATTTAAATTAGCAGAAGGAAGCAGAGTGCATGTTTGCTGAAAGATGCAGAAATTAGCACAAAAAAATAAAAATCCAGTGGAAATTGTCTGAAAAAAGCTGAAATTAGTAAACGGATAAAAAGTAGCTAAAAAGCAGAAAAAAGCTGAAATTACAAGGAAGTAGAGAGAGCATGTTTTTGTCTGAATTAGGCTGAAAATAGTTTAAATAACTGTAAAAAAAAAAAAGTGGAATTAGCTGAAAAAACTTAAATTAGCACAAACAGCTAAATATTAACTGAAAATAAAAAGAAGCTGAAACTTACAGAAATAAGCTGGAAAATGCATAGCAAGCTGAAATTAGCAGGAAGAAGTTAAGACAAAAATGTTGTAGTTGTCAGAAATAAATTGGAAAGGAGCACAAAACGGATAAAATAAAGCAGCTGAAATTAGATGAAAAGTTTTAATTTTTCGCAAGGAAGCTGAAAGAAGTTGAACCAGGACAAAATGCAAAAGGAGCAGTAAAAGGTTGTAAAGAGATCTAAAGTTTGAAGAATGTAAAATGAGGTCAGTTTATTTTTTATGAGAAAAAATTGAAGAAAATGCTAAATGTTTCAAAAAGCTATAGTTGCACCAATACCAAAAGTCATAGCAGGATTGTACTGAAAGAGCTGAATGTTTTTATGATTTGTTGAAATACCTTGATTACTGTGGGACGAGAATTGTGCCGAAAAGCGTACGGAAGAAAAATGGATGGCAATATTGTGAATGCTTCATAATGATGCACCCACCACTCACTGCAGTTTCAGGCTTTTAAGAATGACCTGTATATGTACTGTATATATAAATACCCAGTTTCAGTTTTTTTCATCTACAGACTGTTGAAGAGAGGCCCCACCTTGTGGCTGAATCCCCTCTCTGTTTTCAGAGGAGTTTTTCTTCTCTGAAGAGAAGTCTGGCTTTTCTTTAGTTTTAAGATCTCAGTTTGTTTCTTTTTGTTATGGGCACTCTTTTGTTGAGTTTTGTTTCTCTTTCATAACAGAGGGAACAGGATTACATGCAACAGTTTCAGAAAATATACTTTCAGAAAAATACTTCAATACTATAAATTCTTGTTGTTAAACGTGAATGGTCTACACAGTCCCATAAAACGGAGTAAAATGATGGCAAAACTAAAAAGGGAGAAAATTGATATTGCCTTTTGGCAGGAAACACATCTGTCTCATACTGAACACGAAAAGCTCAAAAAGATGGGTTTTCATAACTCCTTTTTTTATTCTTACAAATCAGGAAATAAGAGGGGAGTGGCCATATTGATAACAAATAGGGTTAATTTCAAACTAGTTTCTGAAATGCATGATAAAAAAGGTAGATTTGTTCTCATTAAAGGGAAAATTGAAGTAAAACAAGTAACTTTATTTAATATTTATGCCTCCACTGGAAGCCCAATTTCTTTTTTCAAGAAAGTATTTGATTTAATAGCTTTAGAAAACGAGAGTTACAGCTGTAACTACGGTTCTATGAATCCCGGATGACCGCCAGAGGCGGTGCTTAAAGCACTGAATGATCATTCTTGTGCATGCGCAGGTCGAGAATTTATGCCAACATAGTCACGTGTGACGCCCAGGACACCGGTGAGTCTATATAAGCACGTGACAACGGTAGCCCACTCCCTTAATCTTCTTGTGAAACGCGATGATTCCGAGGGACCGAGCACTCTGGCGGTCATCCGGGATTCATAGAACCATAGTTACAGCTGTAACTCGCGTTCTATTTCATCCCTACTGACCGCCAGAGGCAGTGCTTAAAGCACTGGATGACGATTGCCAACAAAGTCCTGAGGAATTACACCCATGAGAAGAAACAAAATTTAAGTGTGCCCACTTTACTGAGACTAAGATGGGTGCTGTGATAGGATCCCTTCCAAAGGGTGAAAGGCAGCCAGGTTTACCCTGTAGAACCTGGAAAACGTATTTGGGGATGACCAGGAGGCTGCTGCACATATGGCCTCCAGAGTGACCCCATTCATAGCGGCCCATGACACGCTAACGCTCCTGGTGGAATTGCATCGTACCCCTACAGGTGGCTGGCGGTCCTGCAGAGTGTACGCCTGTTCCACCACATCCACAATCCAGCACGCAAGGCGCTGCTTTGAAAGGGCCTGCCCTTTGCAAGGTCTTGCAAAGCAAATGAACATATTATCAGACAGCCGCAGAGAAGCTGTCCATCTGATGTACGCTTCCAGTGCCCGAACAGGGCAGAGAGGCTCGTCAGCACCATCTGCATCGAAGCGAGCAAGCCTGAGAGGCAGAGAGTGGGTCGCAGATGAGGCCACCTTAGGGAGGAACGTTACGTTAGGCCAGAGTGTAACACCCGAACCAGCCGGGTTCCAACGGCAACAGTGCTCGTGAACAGACAGTGCGTGTAGTTCACCTACTCGTTTGGCCGAAGCCATGGCCAGGAGAAACGCGGTCTTCTTAGACAAGCACTCAAGGCTCACGTCCATCAAGGGCTCAAACGGAGCAGACCGCTGGGCAGCAAGGACCAGAGAGAGATCCCACACAGGCACAACGAGGCGTGTGGGGGGATGCAGAAGTCTGGCGCCTCTCAGAAACAAGGACACTTCCTTGTTACAACCTACTGTCTCCCCACCTACCACCGTATGCCAGCAAGAGATGGCAGCAACATAAACTTTCAGGGTGGATGGAGACCGGCCCTGAGAAAGAAGTGCCTGAAGGAAAGTAAGAATAACAGAAAGAGGACAGTGTACAGGGTCCTCGTGTCTGGCACGACACCAGCTGCTGAAGACCTTCCATTTATGTGTGTACAATAGTTGTGTGGAAGGGGCCCTGGCATTATTCATTGTATATGCGACCTCCCCGTCATACTCTGAGAAGGTAATGCCGGGCCCTGTAGTGGCCAAGCCCAGAGCCAGAGGCAACTGGGGTCGGGGTGCAGGAGCTGACCCCCCAACTGTGCCAGGAGGTCCTTCCTGTGGGGTAGAGGCATTGGAGAGCTACAACAGAGCCTGTGCAGCAGTGGAAACCAAGTTCTCCCGGGCCAGAGGGGAACCACTAGGAGGACTTGATGCCCCTCTTGAAGGACTCTCAGGAGTGTTGGGCTTATCAGCGGAAGTGGCAGAAAAGCATACAGCAGCACCCTGGGCCAGTCGTGTGCCAGTGCTTCCTGACCCAGGGGACTGGCACTGCCTGCCAGAGAAAAACAAAGTGGGCAGTGTGTTGTTTCCTGAGATGGAAACAGGTCCGCAGCTGCCTTGCCGTACCTCTCCCAAATTACCCTCACCACCTTCGGATGGAGCCTCCACTCCCCAGGTGGTGGGTGTCCCCGAGACAGAAAATCTGCCGGTCCGTTCCGCACTCCTGGAATGTGGGATGCCCTCAGGCTGGCAAAGAGGGGGGCTGCCCAAAGTAAGAGGTTCTGGGTCAGTAGCAGCAATGTCAACAACCGTGTTCCACCTTGATGGTTGACATGAAAAATCACAGAAGTATTGTCGGAACGCAACAGGACATGCTTCCCAAGCAGGTCCGGGAGGAAGTGTTTTAGTGCCAGCTGCACAGTGTCCAGCTCCAAGGCATTGATGTGCCTCGCCTTCTGCTGTGGAGACCACGTTCCTTGGGCAATCAGTCGCTGCCACGATGCTCCCCAACCTGTGGTGGATGCATCGGTACAAACAACCTCCCTCCGAGATGGCAGAGAGCCCAGTGGGACCCCTTTCACCATAAACACTGCATCTCGCCACTGAGCCAGTGAAGCGAGGCATTGAAGGGACACCAGCAACC